TTTTTTTTTAAAATACACATGTATTAATGTAATGTAAAAGTAATTATTCTTTGTACACATGAAAAAAGCAAATGCACAATAGCATGTACGACAGAATGAAATTAAAAAATAATTTTATAACATAAACAGCTGATATTTCAGATGATAAATTTAAGACTCCCAATAAATTCGATGTTATAATGTACAATATGGTACCAAAGATCAGTTTGAATAATTGATTTAAATTTAGTCTTTGATGTAAAATAATTTGTACAAAAGCATTTTAATATGTTTAATGTCTACGATTCATATTATTATATTAATGCTTTTTATCATTACATAATACATTTATGTTGTTATAACTCGGACAGAGAACACAAATCAATCATCAGTTTCTTACCTTTATAATATCATTATTATCGCTTTCGTCATCATCTTTGTTGTCGTCGTTAACAGATAAATTAACATGTTTAATGATCTCATTAAAATAACCATTAATAGTAAGTTGTTATGCGCTGAAAATAAATTTCTCAGAACGATGCTTATTATACATAGCTAGGTATCTACGACGGAGTGTTCAATCATTTTAATTTTTGTCTTCAAAATTTTCAACATTACAATCTTTGCTGTAAACAGTTACATATTGTATTAAAATGTTTTTGTAAAAAATCCGGCCGATATAAGTAAGATCGATATTATTATGATATTATATTACGATTTACAGCCATACAATAAATAATGAGCAGTAAACATTATTTGTAGGAAGTGATGTGGCTTAGCTTAAACAATAATACTCATCATAACTTCATAACGATACCGTCGTCGAGAGTGATATCTTATTGATACTCTTTTACATCAACTAACTACTAAAATATTATTATGATTATTACTGATCGAAATAAWTTTTTAAGTATTAAATGGAATATTTTGTAAACACTTGTGGGGGCAAATAATATACCTAACACCTAACACCGCTGTCAATTTCTCTGCAAATAAATGTGCACATAAATTCATTAATATACCAAAACATTAACGATAAGTAATAATGATAAGCATTGATATCATATCTTATTAACAATATAACAAATATTAAATCAATTATTATAGTGTTTCAATCAACATGTGAAGGTACGTGAAAAACTCATGATGAGTGGGACGCGGAGAAAATCAATCTTTAATATATATATATAAAAGTCGAATGGATAATTTTATTAATATATACAATAATAAAATAAATTAATATAATAAAAAAAAAATTAAAAAAATAAAATTATATTTACATTAAATATTATTTGGTTAATTTGAGATCGATAGTAATAAATTTTACTAGGGTAATTGTATTTAGTTTTGTTTTTGTGCAAAAAAAAAAAAAAGATTGTATTATCATAATTGTGTAGGTAGTTTCTAATAAAATAAAATTCAGTTCACTTAAAATTATGAATATAGGTACATTACTTACAAGCAAAAGTTATTGTTGTTTGATAAATATTGGCACATGGAAATTTCCAAACTGTGTAGGTTTGAACCGCTCGTTATCACTATATTGATAGRTATCGATTAATATRATAATATTAGGTATATCCAATTAAATATTATAAAAAGTAAATATTATGTAAAAATAGTAAAATAATGTTGTAATAACAATATTATGTATTTTATTCTATAAACAGCTATAATAAATTAACGTTTCCGTGATGGTGTGGCTGTGTGTAGGTTTTATGAGCCCGACGCAGTACTTGAAGATGAAAAAGTCGAAAAAAATCGAATTGCTGCCGATCACACCCGTTTTCGTGCATCCCAGGAACACTGCACTGAAACCGGGATACTTTGCGGACATCATCATGCACACGGATGTCGAGTTAGCTAACCCGCTATATCATATTATACGCATTGAAAATAATACATTATTTTATTAGCGCCTTGGCGTGCGACAATGCGCCCTGTAATGTATTGTATTTGATTTTTTTTGTTTTTGTTTTCGTTCCGACTATACCGGAAACGTACAGGAAAACCGTCAAGTCGTTTTTGGACCTGAGGGGCTGCAATTGGGGTTACACGGGAGACAATTCGCTCAGCAGCAGTCTCACCATACAGAAATTGCTCAGGACTCACGGCGAAAACTCGTCGTTCTTCGGCAACACGATAAGTAAATATGTTTAATAGTAATATCATATCGTTATTAATTTATTATCGTATTATACATTTTTCCTGCGTATGTATGTAGGTAGGTGGATAGGTACAGCTCACTAGGYTAATAATTTATTATTTTTTTCCCTCGTTTTATGCCCCGCATGAACAGCAGGACACGTCTCATAATATGCAGGTATGTACAACAGGTGTGTATAATATTCGACGAAACGTTCAGCTAGTTAGGCGACCGACAATTTTTTCCCTTCCGCCAATTAACGAATTCAAATCGATTAGCACAAAATATTTAGGTCAGATTTAGTTGGTACGCAATTTTTTTTACACCGGATAAATAAAAATAATAATAATAAAAATTGCATTCCTCAACGTTTCTTCAAACATAAATATTATCCAACACTGAAAATACTTTAATTATTAATGTACCTATGTGAAATGAAGTCTTCATCTTTTCATATATACCTGTATAAAAAAATAAAACATGTATATAACAATATATAATGTAATCATAACAAAACAAGGTTTGGTCGACAATAATATTGTTACCTAGCGTCACTTCAGTGCAGCTAACTTGACAGTAAAACAAATTCTGAAAAAATTGCATGTCAAGACATTCCAACGGCCATACTATAAATACCTATAACAAGTGTAGGTAGCTCGACAAGTCAAACAGAAATTAATTATAAAATGATAAATACGCACAATGTTATACTATCTATTATAATATTGCAAAATATGAGATGTGGAGGTACTGCATGTACGAATTTTATATTTATAATGAAATAACTAAATAAATACGAACAATAATATATGATGTCCGTCACACTGTTATTGGATAGGTACAGACAACTTTAATTACGAATGTAGACGAGTGCGATATTTAAAAATATGGAAAACTATTATATTGTATTATTCGCATATTTTTACATGGTTAATTTAAATTATTTATGTTTACATTAAACATTAGAATAATATTTCGTGATCTTTAATCATTTTTGGTGTATTGTTTTACAAAATRTATTATTTCTACGTATTAACTTGAAATTATATCAGATCATTCGTAAAACAAAAGTATTGCTTAAAAATATTACCGTTTGTTATTCATTCAAAATATAAAAAACATTGAAATAATAAAC